TACATGCAGACGGATTATTTTTTTCTACATAGAAAATGATGGGAACTATACTGTAAGTAACCCACGCACATTAGATTTTCGTATATTTTGAGATAAAAAATAAAATGTATATTTGTCCATACAAAATTTTTTTTTTCTCTGAATCTATCTACTTTTCAAGAAATCATACAAGAATAAAAGTTGTTAGGAATGTTATTATATATCACATAAAAAAAATTTGCTCGATACCTACTCCACAAGTTATTCCTATGTCCAAGAATTATCAATTTGGGCCCACTGTGTGGCGTTCCGATATGACCCTTTGGGACCAATGCAATACCTGCGATATTTAATGCGATATCATACTTCTTGGAATTACAAATAAAATTAAAAAATATTATTTCGCACGTTCGGTGTTCTCAGCCTAAAATCACCGTAGCCATTGTTTTTTCTCGCTTCTTACACCCAGTAACATTGAAATATGAATAATTTTAAGCTAAACTATCAATATGTCTAAATGGCATTAGAATAGACAAAGTAGTGTTCTAGTTATTATTTAGAGGATGGAAACGTTGCGAGTTGCGATTGTTTTTTTTTTACAATGTATTTGTATACGACTCCAGGTGCATATCCATTTTGAGGTAAAATATAGCGCCATCTAGTTGACGTGTTTGTTATCACTAGAAGCAGATTTGATAAAATTCAATGTGTCAATGTAAAATAACGTTACAAAATAGCTATTTGGTAATCGTCGCGACATCTAGTGTACCAATAGGTACTAAATACCCGGCTACGCTATCTTGTATGACGATTAGCAGTCCTCTTGAGTTATTGGTCCATGGTATAATGATGTTTAACAACAAAGAGGTAAAAGAGTTTGCTTTGTTCTTATAACTAGACCACTGTTATTTACAGTAATCGGAACTGATTATATTTGAATATGCGTATTATTTATTGAAACAGTACATTGGCGACAAATTATTGTAGGTATGCTGTTAAGTATTTGCTATAATGTCCCAAAAAATAATATTGCAGTTGTGTTTCCATGGGTTACTTATTTAAATATTTTAGCCATTTAATAAATAAACATGAGACAACATAATATTTTGGAATGTTTAGAAAATAAACAGTATAAAAATTTTATACGCATTGATATTGTATATGAATTTTTTTTTGGTTTTATTTTTTTATATATTTTTATATTTTATATATTATATTTTTTTTTTTGGTCTTATCATGAAATGAGCATGTCCATACTAAGAAAACATCCATACTTTAGGTAAATTAACACCCTCAATTCCGATCACTGGTTATTTATTAACTTATCAGCAATCTACTCGAAACTTGTTGTCATAGCATGATAACATGGGCGATGGCAAGCGTAGATGTGCGATAGCATCAATTAGGCGGTGCAGATCGGTACGGCCCCAGTAGGGTTCCTCTGTCGCTGAAGCGCGCTGACGACATTTCACATAAGACATGTGGGCGTGATGCTTCATGCGTCGTAGTTGGATTCAACCCTTAAAACCCAAAAACTTGTGACCACTGGCAACATTAAAATACAGAAAAATACGAACATAGCGTTCGCCACATTCACTGACCGTAATCTAGCCCAAGTACGAAGAAGACTTGAAAAGACGAAGAACTGACGCTGAAACCGAATGGTCCTAAGCTCTCTCTTGATGAGCAGTAGAACTCAGTGTTAACCAGTTATCTTTGGCTGAAGAGACGAATAGTGTATTATACTCATGTATTATCTAGAGTTGCAACGAATATTGTTACAATTTGGTATTCGACTTATTCGGTCTGTTTTTTTGTTATTCGGCCAGATACCGAATTCCTAAAAATATGAGAAAGAAAGAAGAAAAAAACAGTAAATTATCATGTAACTAATATTGATGCTGAATATACACTGTAAGTTCGAGAAAGCGGTTTTTCACTTATTTGTATATAAGATCAAAGGAAATATAACCAAGTTATTTTTCTAAACGATCAAAAAGGTAATCAATCAAATGTAAATTATGTATTTATTATGTAAAAAAGCTAACTAAATCAAACAGCGCCTACTTATTATTTGCAAAGCAAAATAAAATATATTTTTTTAAAGTTAATCAACCTGAAGTTAAATAAACAATTACTTTCTTCTTTAGGATGTCATCATAAATATTAATTATTATACTTATAAATTAAATTACCTTTTTGTTTGATTGTACATACGTCAATATTTATGATAACTGACGTTAATAAGTGGTATTTTTCGGACCAATTCTCGTACGTGTCTCAATCAAATCGAATATGCGACTACTCGGTCACGCTTCTGTGTCCGAATGTACTACTTGTTGTAAGACTAGAATTTTGTCTATATTATATTTGCGTAATTTTATAGTAGGCAACATTGACTTATATGGTTGGAGACGATAATATTAGCAACTAATTAGATTGTTGCAGTTTGCTTCAACTCCAACTGTGTAAAACCAAGGGGAAAAATTTTAAAAATTACTACTCTTATTTGATTATGATTAATGATTAGTGGTAGGTCAATGTTAGTGACCCTTGCTTGTAATCACGATACACAGCGATATCATACCAACAGCTTCATCTACTAGCCCAAAATAATGGTTGAATGTATTAATGTCGTAATTGTAGCTATTATATATTGTATATAAACTATAAAACCACTCGAAAACTTTTGGTCTGCCGTTTCGGAAATTCACAGAATCTTGTTTTAGTTTTCCGTGCCGATCGATCGCAGAGAAATATAATTTTTTTAAAGTAGTGGATCGAAGGTTTGTAGCGGTTGTTTTGTTTGTTTTAATAGTGTGGCGTTATTGTCAAGTTGTTTCAATTGTGTGGAGTATTGTCAAGGGTTTTCGGGGATTAGAGTATAGTTACGCATGAACGTAAAAATTTACTCGGCATAATCACGTTAATATACACGTCGCGTAATACGAACAAATAAGCTCCGTAAATAGTGAATTATTGTAATTTTTATAGCTTTCAATCATAAGTTCCCAAACTTTTTGGCTCACCGCCCACTTAGGCAAGATAAAAAAATTTCAACTCCCACCACCACAAAAAATAATTAAAAACACGTAATTTTTATACAAACTTAAAACCAGAAGGAAAAATCTATTCATATATGTAGTTTATACAGATCATTCAGGTTTTTTTTCAAATGTGGTAGCACCCCTGGTCAGCATCAACGCCCTCCAATTGCTTCAAAGTCCACTACGGGGGCGGTAGGGGCCTCGGAAGCACTAACACTAGGGGTCGTATTCTAGACCTCTACTCAATGCTGACTTGAGCATAGAAATCTACTCCAAGTCCTTGCCATTAGGGTCGTATTTCCAGTGCTTGAAATCATACTCAAGTCTGCTCAAATCCTGACTTGAACATTGAGTAGAGTTCTGGAATACGACTCTAGGACTTTACAGCGCACACTGGAGGGGCGGTATGGACCACTTTGGAAAACTGTTTTAAATTGATACGTAACAGATAATTAAATACATAATTTAAACATATTTCTTTCTGAAAATTTAATATGAATTTCCCTATTATGTGTACATATTAATTAATGCACGTAAGTGAAGAAACCATCCCGAATAAGAAAAATACAATTCAAAACAACATATGACTATAGCCGTAATTATGGGAATAACTTTGAAAAAAAAGTCCGCGATGCATAACTCGCAATATTATAGGTTAGAAACACCTCACGTTTGTACCTTGACAAATAGACTTTGTACTTACTTCTGTTGGGCTTTTACTGCAGAGAGCTTCGTAAATTTTCCAATCTTCCAATTCGTCCTTTGATTTCTCCTCTTCCATAGCACCCACGAGAACACACGACTGTAATGGTATTTCGATCGCCGTATAGTTTTTTACTGTTGATTAGGTTGCTATGGGCGTACTACACGTAAACACCGAAATCGATTTCTTACATTGTTCATTTCCGATTGTCAAGAAAGCTTTTGTCCGCAAATTGACGGTTTTATTTTTCTCGGCATGAATAGCTATTTAATTCTTTCGCGGTATACAGATACAGGTGACCTCCATGAGATATGCGAGAATTTTTTACATTTTCCCAGCTATTTTAGGTTTTATAATGAAAGGCAGTTTCAGAAATCATTTTTATGTATATTTTCCAAAGTACTTCGAAATAAGAAAAAAATAACGATTTTTACTGATGATTTAAATCAAGGGAACAACGCTGTTTAAAAGTTCGGCATTTTCAGAATGCACCACTTTATGCCGCACATTTCCTCTTCTTCACATCACAATAGCACGTAATATTAGGTATACTAAAAATTCACGACAGTTGTTTCCATGAGCATAATCACCATTACAATATAGCACAGCTACATGCACTGACACGTGGAACATTTATCTTTCGAAACACGTTTACATAAATGTGTGATATGGACACAATTCGGTACTCATAATGTACATTTGACGCTCTTTTCGTATCGAGATAGATGGAGACCACAACCTTCCACTGGCTAACTTACTATCCTAGCGTACATCTTTCGCCTCATAACACGAGTCAATGCTTTCATACATGCAGTTGTAACTTTTTGTCCTAAACTACCAGATCTTAGATTTTAATCAGAATTTTTATTAATTTGTAACCATTAATACTTATCTTTTTTTGTCTTTCATACATGCTCGTCACGCAATTCTACCATGACATTACCGCGTAAAACATTTGAATACAAAATGATATTTTTTATTGTGACTGATTGCTGGTTGATATTTCAACTCGTGCAGTTTCAAAACCGCCAGTGTGCATAAAATATATGTGTATAAAACTTTAGTTCGTCTCATAAACATTAACCGCGGGCACTAACAATATGGTAGATGTACTGATAACATAATTCCAGTTTTAATTAATCGGAATTTGTTGTTAACATGTCAATGCACGTAGTCTTAAGTGTAACAAAAAAACCTCCTAAAACTTAAGAAATAGAAAACGTCTTAATAAAGTATGTATTAGATCTAAAAATAAGTGTCTCCAATAAGCTGCTGAGGTAAACAAAATAGGAATGTCATTTTATGTTTGGCATTCAAGATATGAGGTATACTTAGAGTAATACATATCACATAAAGTAATCTTATAAGCTCACAACACCTTTTTTTTACTTAAGTATGTTCTGTATTTTTTATGTGAGCTTGTTTCATTAACACATTAATGTGTACCACGCTGAAATTTACGTGTATTCCAATATACATGTTCCACTAGATATACGCATATAATACTTACGTAAGCAAAATATACGGCGGTTTCTACTACGAGTTTACTTCTCCTTACGTGGGACTTACATTCATAACTGTATTGACATAAAATTAAATGCAAAAAAGTCGTACACCGCGTCGTTGGGGTAGTTTCTAATAACTATTTATACTTAAAAAATAACAAAACCTAAGGCTAATATATGGCAGTATGCGTGTCTGATGAGTGTTTTATGCAGCTAAAGTTGATTTTTGCTTATCGTTTAATTGTTAGGATGAAAAATGTCTTGTCACTTCGACAATTTATTTGCGACTGATTGTATTAAGAAAACTATTATTGACTTACTTTTCAACTCACAAGAGAGCACCCTGTAGTGAACCATACACGATAGTTCGATTTCTAAACCCTAAAGAGTAACTAACTGTTGTACAGTCAAAATAATAACATAAATTTAAACACGACAATTTAAAGAGCAAATGACTTATAATTAAAAGGTCGAGTGATTATCGACGATCAAATTAGAATAATAGAAAGTTTTTTTAATGTTTTTGTTTTTAAGCTTTCAATATAAAAAGTAGTATCTACGATTTGTTTCTCAACAAAACTTAATATTATAGTAGAAAAATCAACTTTATACACCGAAATCATACTAATTTAAGTCCAACACAGACTACTAACATTTTTCATGGTAACATACCATAACTCAGTAACGGTAATCAAAAACCATTATTCGGCTTTTTGAGCGTACACCTCCCCAAGGAGAAAACCAGTATCACAACTCGAACACATACTTTTATCAAAATGTTTAAGCTAAGGTAAGGCAAAATCGAGGAATTGTCCACATACGCATAGAGTTATGTACTAAGTAGTCTGCGTCGCGTGAGACTTCAAATTGCTGTGAAACAGTTTACAAGAAATATAGAGTCTCGGATAGAGAATAATGAGGCTGGTTATGCAGACTGTTGGCGGCAAGGAAAGCCAATTTGTGTGCGTATTGGCATACTGCGGGCACACGCACTTGCGACGAGCAGTTGAAGTACATATGGGTGAGCTTGTATGTCAGCCGCTGCAGCTGTAAATAAGCGAAAATTGTTAAGTGAATGTCGAGTCAGCCATTCAGTTATAAGGGTGTTGTTTCATTGTCCACGCTGAATAAATAAATCCTAACAACATTATTGAAAAGTGACAACGTATTTTTTTTGCTAAGTTGCTTGTATTGAAAAGTAGACCACGTAATTAAAACAAAAGTTTAACAAACGCTGAGTAAAAGGCTGCTAAATATTTATATGGGCTCTGAGAATAATACAGGTATATATAACCTTGATATAATAAATCTGTTGTGTCTTCTAAACAACGAAGCGACTAATTTTAAAACTGTGCGACTAGAACCGGCTAATTAACGACGTTCTCGAGTGCAATCAGCATAAGGTCAATGGCAATCCATTCACCTACCAACAAATGGATGTCGGGTCGAATACAAAATCCAAGAACAAAATGTCGGAAGTTAATCTATACAAGCGTAGTGACATATCAGGAAATATAAAACTAACTAAAACATTTAATTTAAATCATAACGTCATTGCAGTACTGCTTCATTTTGCTTGCAATAATTTAAAGGCCCAAAATTCACCATATTCAGCTTCTGGAAACTTAACAAAATGCACCATATTTAAACTGCTTGAACACAAGAGTAATGGAGTAGCCTTTACTGTCAATACTAATTAATTTATATATAATATTACGATGGATAATAAAAAGTTGTGCATATATATATACAAATAGCTTCTTGTTAGTTATGACATATTAAATGTATCAATGTTTCGAATTTCACGTAAATTCAAATTTTCATAACTCGAAAACCGGTTTTTAAGAAAACCGTTATGCTTTCAGAGGATTTTGGTTGCTTATCACAAAGAAAAGATTAAGTTATCGTAGGTTTGTTTTGTAATGCTCCTAAAAAAACCAAAAGAAAAAAAGGATACATTTGGGACTAAGGAAATTCGAGCAAACGTTATTTCGGGCAAATGTATGTTCAGACTTTTGATAAAAAACCCCAAACTGTAAAAAGAGTACAACAACATTTTGTTAGTTATTAATTATTACTATGGTAAGAATACAAATTCACTTAGCGAGAAATACAAGGTATCATATAATTTCTACAAAGAATACGTGCTGACAAAATATTCAAATGAAGGTATATAGATAAAATTTGGTGTTCTTAGAAAAAACAAAAGCAAGGTCCTAATCAAGTATTGTACATCAATTGCCATGGTGAAACTTTAATAGCAATACCAACTCATAGAAATAAAAATATCAAAACCGAGAGAAATTCCTCACGATGAGGAACCCTCATTTCTTTTTGAATAATTGAAGTGATTGTATTTCTTTAATATCTTTTGGTAATTTGTTGAATATTTGAGCGCCTTCGTACATTATGTTTTTTTTTTCCATAATTCGTCAGCGGTATTTGCAAATATATATCATTAGCACGCCTGGTTATACGCTTTTGAATATGTAGTTTTTTACTAAAATTTATTTGCGAGTGAACATTTTTATATAAAATTTTTCTAATCAATATGCATGTGTTATATTTGTACATTTGGGAAATAGTCATTAATTTTGTTTTCTGGTATAAGGTTATGGTTGGGGTCAGATAATTGTAATGGAAAAGTTGTTTTATAATTTTATTTTGTATTGTTTGTAGTGTTTTTAAATATATTTTGGAAACAGATCCTCATACTAACATTCAATAAAAAAATCATTTTACAAATAACATTAACAACAAAGCGACTCCTAGGTTATTTGTTCTAAACGTTTCAATCATTTGTGGTTCGAACAATTGAATTTGACGTAATGGATCTTTTTCTGTCTTTTGCGCATGCAATGTGTAGGACATTGCTCATGTAATGTATATGTAATTTTTACAAGTTTTTATTACACAGTACAGCATGATTGACAAGCGCGCTGTCGATCGACCAAACGAAAATTGATGCGCGATTAAGCGCATCAATTTTCGTTTGGTCGATGTCGCTCTGTATGCGATTTCAACGCCTTTAAGGTTCAGACACTACTCGTATTTAGCGCGGAACCGACGCCCATAGGTCAATAGACCAAATATTGCGGAATGGCTTATTCCAGGGTGGTAAAACACCCTTAGAACTTTTAAACGGCGGATAGACTAAAGCTAGTTTTTTGCGACTAAAACAGACTAAATTTTAACTTTTTACCAGACTAATCAAATTTAAAAAACTCCGCCATGACAAAAGCTGGATTATTCCATCGCATCGAGTATATAACCAGAAATAGAGACGAAATGTCATTTAATTTGTTTGAAAACAACTGCGCTCCGATTGGCTAGCCCGAGTTCGAAACAATTGACGGGTGTCGCAATGGATGTCGTCAACCGTTTCACTTCAAATCGACCAGTTAACTTGAGCTTTGCTATAATGGACGAAAATTGCAAAATTTACATATTTAATATTTAATTACCGATAAAATGAGATTCCGTTTGTTTTGTAATTAGATGTTTTGCTGTTTTGCCTACACCACCGAATAGAACAGCACGGCATTGTTAGAGATATTATCTTTATTACAATAAAAACAGATTTTTTTTATCGAATATACGGAGACGTACACACAGGTCAGTAGTTGGCCAGTCTATATTTCAGTGCAAACGAGAGTTGATATTTATAAGAGCTGTATCGCTAAGGTGTTACCAGGAATATATGGCCCTTATTTCGTCTCCATTTCTGGTTATATACTCGATGTTCCATCGTGACCATGGCGAAGTAGAGGTCCCTTATGGGACGTCCCAGACACAGAATAACAAAATGGTTATAATACCACCTCGGCATACAAATATACTTTTAAGCTCGCCCTTGTGTAGAATGTGTCGTTTTTATAACATAGTTAATAATTGCAATTCAACTAGTCTTGACATTTTTTATGATTCTTTCTGTAAATTCTAGGGTAAACTGTGTCCCTTGACAAAATTTAATACAATTGCTTTGCTATATTTACACAATCAATTATGTATTTAGTTTTTATAATTAGTTATTTCAATTAAATTTCAGTACATTAATGAATAATTTGGATCTATTATTATTTTATTTTTATTTTGCCTGAGTTTTATTAATGATGTGTGAGTATGTATTAGCGATGTGTATTTTTAATTGGCCCTTTAATTGGCTTATACATAAGAACGGTACTTTACTAAGTTTCATATATTTTAAATGTATTTATGTATGAATTGTTCCCAATAAATAAATTCTTGCTGGATAGTCTTAAAAAATTACGATGTAAATGAGGATCATGAGATGAATAAAAATTCAAATGCGAACGCTACTTACATGATCTGGCCCGAGCGAAGTGGTGTCGTCGATGATGTTATACGATGTGGGAGCAATGGTACCCTCACGAACGTTCTGCGACACTAGGTAAAAGTCGTATCTGAAAAAGGCAATTTTGTTAATACAAAATTACCTGCACGTAGGGAAATGATTTGTTATTTTTGTTGTCAAATTATCATCCGACGTGTTTCTACAGAAAATGGACTTGTAAGTTTTAATTGAATACGTTGTGTTTCAAAACAAAGATAAGCTCCCGCTGTGATATCAATTCGGTTAAGAATCTAGATTGTGGTTAATCCTTTACTGAAGCGAATTAAAGTGGAAAAGTTTCTCGACCCTCAAAAGTTTATTTATTATTTTATTCGATTTACATACAGCCCAATATACATAATAGAAATATATGAAAGAATAAAGTTTTCACTTGTAAAAAACGTTATATCTGACACAAAACCAAAGTAACTTGTTACTGACAATAAAAGTAAACAAATTTGTAAGAAAGCTGACTTCAACTGACAAAATGAACTAACCTTTCGGGCAGAGTGACGACGTCGTCGATGACGGTTCCGGGGCGCGGGTTCTCGCCGGTGCGGCCGCGGTTTATGAAAATGCGAGTATTAATACGCTTGGAAACAATGATGAAGGCCATTTTCACCTGTTCCGCGTCACCATATAACTCATTAAGCTTTTTTTTTATCTCCTTGACCTAGAAAAATAATACCGCACATAAGTACTACTACGTCGGTAATGATTATACGAAGTCAATTTCTGCTCCTATCAGACATTTAAAAAAAAATTTCAACTACAAATTTGTTCCAATTAAAACGTGGTATCGATGTTAGCATTCACCAAAACACTACTGAGTGACAGATAACTTACCTCATGCTCGTGTACGTACGGAATTTGCCCATCGCCTACACCATCCCGGTAGATGAAGATGCGCCCGGGGAGTGCGCCTAACACAGAACAAACATTTATTAATCACAAACTTAACACAAAGATCCATGCCTGTTCAGTGAAGGCAGTCCTCCGTTAAAGAGTACCTTGCAATAAATAACAAATCAATGATATTTTTCAATGATATCTAAATCGCTCATATTTGTTTCATTTTTTTCAAACAAACTAACGTTTCGGATTCCTTACAGGGCGTCTACGCCCGTTCTCCGTCAGAAATCTCTCTGAAACAATTACTCATCAATCGACCAAATTAAGAGACGCACAATGCGAAAAAAGCTTGATACTTGGCATATCGTGTTGATTCGCAGCTTCATTTTGATTGCCTCTCCCGATCGGAAACTGCGTCTTTTCCGAGTCGAGGCGCATAATTGCGATTCACAACTGGCCGATCGCAAACTTAACATTTCAAATCGGAACAATAGTTGATTTAACTCATAAATTAATAATAATAATAATAACGCATACACTCAACATAACCCCGCACTAGGGAAACCCTGTGTCGCGAGTGCCATGGACACTCACATAGATAACCACAAATTATACCCAAACTGACGAGAGAAATAAATGTAGACCATACAAACATTTCTCCCGGCCCGGGAATCGAACCTGGGACCTCTGCGTGGAAGTCATAGTAACCGTTCGGCCACGGAGGCAGTTAAATTAGAAAGATATAGTAGGATTCAGGTTCATCTTCTCGCTCAAAAACCCATCTGATTTCGAGAATCCCATTTGAATCAAAAACAGGACGCTGGTCAGGTATTACTTATTTGACAGTAATTGTTTCGAACGGAGAACGGGATTAAGACTCCCAGGTTCCATGGTCACGGCTGATAGCCTTAGATCCGACAAAATAGTTTCATTTCAATGTGTAACAATCGCGAAAATCTAATAACTCGACAAATACCAAATAAACGGCCTAAATTGGCCAAATGTTACTGAACTGAAATCAGTGCATATTTGCAGATGTTTGTGAATTCACAAGCGTTCAAAATGCAAATTACAAATATTTACCAAACAAGTGGAGAGTTAATTTTTGTGTAAATCATGGATAACCCACTAAGGGTCGCCTCAAATTGCCGCAGCCAGGCGGCGCAACGAGCAATGCAACATAAACTTTATCTTTTACAAGGTTACATTTCTATAAACAAAAAATGAAAATGACAGATGCACCGCGCGGCTTTACTCTTTTGTTATTTTGCATTCAAAGAAATGTGTACTTTATTACGGTAAAGAATATGTTCCACATATTATATGATATTGTATTTTAAAAAGTGCGCCCGACGAGCTCGAAACTGCCCGGCGCCGCATGCAGCATTCTGTTTGAAGAAATGTAACCTTATCTTGTGAAAAATAAAGTTTATGTTGCATTGCCCGTTCTAATGCATAGCAGCGTCGCGTCTCCTGGTTGTGACAATATGAAATGACCCTTAGAGATTTGAGTCAATGTGATAACGAACCGTTGCGTTCGCGGTATTTGCGTATGGCGGTGGCGATGTTAAGCCCCATATGCGCGCTGAGCTCCTCGCCCGAAGTGTGCGCGTTGACGATGCTGTAGTACTGCGTCATGTGCGGGTTGAGCGTGGCCACGAACGCGCCGAACGATTTCTCCTTGGAGCGCGTGTCGTGGCACACGTCGTAGCCCACCACCATCAGCGACTTCAGCGGAATGTCCACACGCCACGGTGCACCGCCCAGCTGTGTGCAGTATTGTTATCATCAAAATTATCGTACATTTCATCGATTACTTTCACAAATACACACCCTGAGAGTCAAGTGGTTGGAGTCCCACCAGAATGTGAATTCTAATTCGTTTGTGGTGAGAATGCCAACCGATTATCTGTCGACGTTCATGAAGGCGTTATTGCCAAATGGCGTCGTAAACTGGCGAATTCGGGGTCGGTTACTAGACATCATATCGCGCTTAGTGCTATTCGTGTAAGTCAGTTATTTCGTTATAAATTACATGTATGTCTTCAAGGAATGTATCACTGCATAAGGGTGATATTTGCTTGATTTAAATAAATAAATAAAAAATAATTAAACTCACTAAACTAAAATTGTTTAAATTTTAGATCATTCTTGGCATATCTTCGGTCATTAATTTATTCGCTGTGAATATGACGAAAATCCAAAAAAGAAAGTTAAGGAATGCAAACAGCAAATTCTTTTATTGTATGGGTTAAGAATTAAATAGCAAATTAATTACACATAATAATAATGTTCTCAGTCATTTGAAGTCATATATTGCTCTTTTACTTTCGCAGTCTTTCAGTTTCATTACAAAAAGTTTGCACTGCAAAATGTTGATATACATTTATTGTCTATTTTTGGTTTGTTTTGTACCGATGTTTATTTTTGAACACATTCTAATCTTGTCTTGTATTTTTTTTTAAATAAAGACAAAGGCAAAAACATAAATACAAATGCCAAGAACAGAAAAAAATCTCTTTGAAGATTTTATATATTACCTTGCAATTTATTTGGATTGCCACTTTAGTAGCGATAGACATGGCAGATTTGCTGGTCATGTTACGTGCGACCACTACCTGCGTTGGCACGGCGCGATCCACTGTGCACTTTTTCTTAACGGCCTCATATCTGAAAGAAAATAGGCGTTAAAATTTGTACGATATAATTTTTTTTTTTATATTGTAGGCGTGAGAATAAAACCAGCCATAATTCAGTAAAAACCAGCCTCTTCTTTCGATTAAAAGAGAACACTCTAGAAGGGAACAATGTTTACCTAGTTTCCGTTAAATGATAAATTGAGATATCGTTGCAGCAATAAATACATCGACAGTCGTTCCCAATAGCCCAAACATATTAACTTCGATTTATGCCCATATCAAATGGTTACGAAACCACACACACCACAGCCTTTTTATGTACTGCAAAACTACAATGCTGAAATAAGATTTTTAAGTAGTCCAAAAATTTATACAATAAGTTACTAACCTGTCCGCGAAGTTTCTTCCCAGGACGCATAATATCAGGGACGGATTTTTGCGAGCGATTACGTCTTCGCACATGTTTGCGTAATCCATTTGGCCGTCTCTTTGTATTGGCACTGTAAACAAAATACATGAACGAAATGAATTCGTGTGAAATAAGAAACGAAATCACGGAGGAACTTTAAGAGATTAAACTAAATACATGATTGTGCTGCAAGTAGCTATTAAATAATCTGTGGCAAGAACAAAGGGTATACTTATACAGTGAGTTTTTTGGTTTTTACTGGGACAGTATGGGGAAATCCGAAACCATAGGAGATACAGGAAACCAGTCTTAGGAACCATTGTGTCTGTTTTTATGAAAACGATTTTAGCATAGTAATTTTTTTTGGTGAAATGTGAGATGTCCATAACATTGAGCCGGTTTGATGTAAAGATAATTTCGGGACAGCGGTAGTTGGTCATACTGTCCCAGTGCTCTGAGTGATACTACAAATGCTTCGGACAGACGTGTCGCTTAACACAGGTGCACGCCTTGCTCTTCCCGTCACTAGGTATCACAAAAACAAAAAAAAATACGGTGCAGATCTACCACAGGCTCAGTAGAACTGCCTTCTTGGCCGAACGGGTACAATGCTGGTCTGCTACGCAGAGGTCCCAGGTTCTATTCCCGGACCGGGACAAATATTTGTATGGCCTACATTTATTTCTCTCGTGAGTTTGGGTGTAATTTATGGTTGTCTATGTGTGTGTCCATGGAACCCGCGATACAGGGTTTCCCTGGTGTGGGGTTTTATAAAAACATGTAATATTCTAATTTACATGTTAAATATTATATTCATAATAATAAACCACATTCAACATAGCCCCGCACTATTATATTATACTAATGATATAATACTACGACGCTGATGAATGGGTGTTTTGCTTAGAGGTGTTTGCAGGTACGTAATGAGTGGGTATAAGTGTCATATACATAACTATAAGTGCAAATTTAAGAGTGTCGCCGAAAGAAAAATCTTCCGTTAGATTTTGGGAGCAAAACAGAGGGGAGATGGTAATTCGAGAATACGATAGAACCAGAAGCTGAAGGACATCGTATCTGAACCCAATATCATCGGAATGATCAAGTCCGTTACACTTCGGACACCTTGAAACGATGTCAGCTCACAGGGCGGTGAAAAGGGCAAGGGCACACGGGTTGTCATAGAAGTCGACGATGTGGAAACGTGGTCGGCCCAAATACCAATGGAGGGACGAAGTGGAGAAAGACCTCCGCGACCTGCGCACAGAAAACTGAGGAGTTCGCACCGCGTAAGAAATATTTGACTGGTTCTTGTCTTAGCAAACCTTGGAGGTAGGCGTTATAACGCAATGTAGTCATGTGTGGATATTGCTCTGTGTGTATGTAACAATTGATTGTTTTATGCTAATTATTTAGTAAGGAGACCGCCAAATTTGATCAGAACGCCAAATTAAGGGTCGTATTCCAGAACTCTACTCAATGCTCAAGTCAGGATTTGAGCAGATTTGAGTATGATTTCAAGCTCTGGAAATACGACTTTAATGGCAAGGACTTGAGTATGATTTTCAGTGCTCACTGCAATACTCAAGTCCTGACTTGAGTATTGAGCAGAGTTCTGGAATACGACCCTAAGATTTCCACAATTTTTCTTTCTTTTAATTTCACGTCATATGATTCTGGCAGACCGACCTATAACTACATAATGGTTATAGTTACCGATTTCTGGCTTCGGCATGCAGAAACCCACGCCGCTGCCGGTTTTCATGATGAGGCCGACGAAGCTCTCGGTGTCGCGGCGCTGGCGCTCAGGAGTGATCACAACCCATGACGGCACTTGGGCGATCGCAAGCAATGGCTTCGAACTATAAAAAAACATGTACTTATCACACATTTACACTTACCAAACATGTAATTCATCAATTCATCCACATAAATATCCAGAGGGTCACAAACCGGAAAGGTTAACCCGGAATTTCCGAAGAGATTTCATTTATCGTATTTTCAAACTCAGGTACCTTAGTACCCTTAGTACACCTTAGTGTGCTAGTATTCTTACCTTGCCAAAATGGTTCACTGGATATTGTTTTGAACAACTTAATCTATAAATTTTAATGTAAACATAAAGTTCTTAGACATTTGATAATTTGTTTAGATCTAATATTGCACATATTTGTTTTTTTTTTTTTTTCAAAAGTAGTTAGCATAACTTCAAGTATCAATTTTAATTTCCAACGTAAAATACTCATACACAAAAGTTACAACTGTACTAAAGTATTCACTGTTCACATTCAGCTATGGGATTTAGCCGGGGAACGTTAGTATATAAAGCGGAAACAAGCAAACAAGCTGAAGATTCCACGCCAACATCGCAGATGCCATGTCGCAGCAACAGTCGAGCAAAGACCTGCCATTGGACCTTAAGAGTCTATACTACCTCAGCTTGAATTGAAATTTTTCACGTACTAATACAGTTCATTTTGCTTGAATCGAGTGGCAGGGACACTTTTTCTATTTCAGAATTTATTTTTTACAAACGAAATTAAAGCCATTTGAAAAATGTGACTCGTTTACTATTCGTGTTCTATTTAGTTCAGATGATATTAAAAAATAATTGGAATATGTAAAGTACACCAACTGAATAATGCGGTTTTCTTGTAAAATTTCGAGGTAAGTTTGTTTTTTTTTCTATCGTGAAAATTGTTTAAGAATCGTGTTTTCACACTGTATAGTAATCAGTGCATAACCTCGATTTTACTACGTTTTTTTTTTCAAAGTGATTGATTCAACAGTTTCATTGTTATGCAGAATCAACCAAAGCTATTTGAGGTTGTATAGACTCTCTCTTGAAGGGAAATGTGTTTTTTATGATACCAAGTGATGGAACGAATAAGTCGTGGTCCATAACGTAATGTAATCCATAACAGTTACAGTGCCGCTGAGAGCTTTTATTCTCTAGCCACACAGAGGCGGCTGCGGAAGCGTTCCGGGCGCGGGAATTTTTATAATGTACGAGTTTATATGAACCCTGCCACACTGAAACGCGCGGCTGACGCGACACGCAACAAATAAATACATATGTATAAACATATAATTACCGCATACTACGAGTCCATCCCTCAGTGGAATCCTCGGCGGGGTACTTATGATCTCCGCCTTGTATGATGTTCTCAGGAGGCAGCTGCCTTCCTTTGAATTTGATGAGCTCGTTGGACAGCTTCATAGACCACGATGCCAATTCCTGTTCATAGTACGAAAATTGTAAGAGGAATTAAATAAGAAAAATAAATAAACAATATGAAATGGTAAGAAAGTTCTAGGTCACCAACATTTATGTCACAGCTTAAATAAACTTTTAGCATATAATTATAGATCTACAACAGTTGAAGTCATCAGATGTGGAAGGTTCCATTAGCATGCTTACTTATTTGTATTGTCCATATTGTTTCATTTTACCGTATCGATGGCATACACAATAATGCTTGCCACCGTGGTGAAATATTATATTACAGTAAACTCCCCAAATCTAATATAATAATTTTCTTGTGTATTAAAGAAAGCCAATAATGGATACATCCAGAATAGTATTTCACTGCAGCTATATCGCCAGCAAAACGTGATGATAAAAGGGAGAACCTTTCTCCATTTCAACAAAGAAATTGAACTGTTGCAATAACTATAATTGTGTGTTTTGTTAGTAAGAAAGAACCAACATACATCAACTACTTCTTTGGTTTGAGTAAAGCGCCGATTGAAGCTGAGCAGCTTCTGAATGCGCGCGTCAGGTCCGATCTTCGTGTGGACAGCTAGGGATTTCATAAGTTGGAAGTTGGCTCTCATCTCGTCCGAGAGGCCAGTCTGTCGGCACAGCTCAGGGATCAGGTAGATCATCTCGGGTGTGCCCGAGCGTATCTCGCGCGGCTTCGCGCGGTACACCAGCAGCGGTTGTTTAGGGTCGTGAATCTTGATGTTGTATTTCTGCAAAAAAAAAACACGTTTCACTGGAACTGTAAGCAATTGTCGAGACACACTGGTACAAAAGGCACAGCTACTGTTCGCATCTGTACCATATCACAGTGTACACATGGCCCGGGCACCGTGTCACCTTGCAGTTTTATTTTGAAAGAGCTAAAATAGTAAAATACTGAAGAAAAGTTCTTTGCTCATTTTTACAAATTAAAATTTTCAGCAGACATACAGGAATGACGTTTAAGTATTAGCTTCAAAATTCCATTAACTTTTTGGTCAATTAATTTTTTTATCTTAGTTTAATACTCAAAATGCAAGATGGCTCGAATTACAAGGCCAGGAGTATATATAGAAGAAATCTAGTAAACATGGACCAGTGAATAAGCAGCTCGCGAAATATACGCACATAACATAATATATTATTTGTTCGTGTTGTGAGTTAAATATGAATTAAGAAATAATAAAAATAAGCAAATTGCAATATCATAAATGTAAAATAAAATACTTCCCCATAGCGTCCCCATATTTATTGTACTGACTTAACTGGCTCCGTGGCCGAACAGTTACCATGCCGGACTGCCACGTCAAGGTCCCAGGTTCGATTCCTGGGCCGGGAGAAATATTTGTATGGCCTACATTTATTTCTCTTGTGAGTTTGGGTGTAATTTGTGGTTGTCTACGTGTGTGTCCATGGCACCCGCGACACAGGGTTTCCCTAGTGCAGGGCTATGTTGATTGTGTACGACGTTATTATTATTATTATTGATGTACAGGCAAACCGTCTACCGTCTTCTCTTAGCGTGTCTTTACTACTGTCCACCTAGATTTTACTTTTTTAATATCGTTGTATAATATTTCTTCATTCCGCTTTGGTGAAAAATGAACTGAAATATTCGATAACAGAAATTTGATATGTCGTAAGGAATATTTTGTCGTAATGGAAAATGTCCCTTACTAAAAAATGACGCTTACAAAATTTTAAAATTCGATACATCGACGAAGTTACTATCCTTATATCGACAGTCAAATTTTGGAATGTCCTAAGAGACATGTCCCTTACGACATTTCAATTTTCCACCATCGTATGCTTCTATAAGGACCTTGGAAAAAGCTTGTGTTATAATATAAGCTATACGTGTAGCTACAATGCTCCTCGTGACTAGACCACAAATTATAAAGTCAAGATCGGAAAAAATCGTACGTTCCAGCGGTAAACTCTTACTCTGATAAAACAGTAGTACAACATTCAATGAAGTGAAAATAGCAATAAAATACCTTTTGATAGTATTCCATATAGGAGATATTGTCGCCTCGCATTTGGAAGGTGCTGTTTGGAGATGCTGACCAGTCGACATCATCCACGCGATAAGTGCGCTTATTGTAGTCAGTCATAACAATCTTTCCTGAAAACACGATATACTTACTTTGTGTTTTGGTCTAACTTTTCGTTATTACTATTGTGACTTGAACTAATGTCACATTTTATTGAATCATCCATTCAACTTACTTGAATGCTCTGTAGTGTGTAGGAAGCAAAATCAATATTTTTACAGAGCTTTCTCAAATAACAGTAATTAAAAATAATAATTTACAGAATACTAACCTACAACATCTTCAAGGAAAATTTTCTTATAGTTGGCTCCTTTAGTTGAAGCATACTCTTTTAACATTCCTAGGACGGTGTCTAAGCGCAGCACCTGTCAAAAGTATTGTAAAAATCATTTACATTAAGTTTATAGTAATGCAAGCATTCATGTGTACTAGTAGTCATTGCCAATACAATACTAATATTCTTTATTGCACACTGGGACAGATACATAATAATACAGAAAAATAAAAAATGACAGGTTCAACAGACGGCCTTATTGCTAAATAGCAATCTCTTCCAGGCGAACTTCGGGTTACAAGAAAAACTATTAAAACTAATTGAGGGCGCAACAGAGTACCTACTGAATACACATTTTGTACATACACAAATGAAAAAATATATATATAAATGAAGAACAAGAAAAGTACATATATTATAATAACATTAATTGAAGTAGGATTATATCAAATATAATAATAACAATACACAATATTCATTAATTAGAGTATAAGCTAATGAGAGTCCATAGACTTAGCGCGTTTGACCGACCGAGGCAGCGAATTCCATAATTTGAAGGAGTTAGAATAAAAGTTAGCAGAGTGGATAGGACAGTATAAAGAAAAAGTAAGAGAAGATCGTAAGGTGCGACTGCGAAAAGTGCTATGATACACGAAACAATCTTTGAGGTAGGGAGGAGAGGTTAAAGGGGTTAAAGAGAAAAGGTTAGAAAGTTTCCCAGACGTCGAAAGAAGGACATGCAAGCACCAAACATCCTCATAGTAACCTCAGTGCCCTGAGGTTTCCAAGTTAAGCTCTTATCAAAAGTAACCCCAAGGTTCCTGGTACCCTTTATAGGGATTTGTATACCATCGAATGCAATGAGCCTGATTGATGTAATAACGAAGCACAACTCTAATTGTACCTAATTACCTTCAAACACAACAAATTACAAAATACAAATTTGTCAATCTGGACAAAACTGTCTTGAATTTTTTTAATGGCGTAATATACAATTTTCAATATAGAATTAGTTATGGAGCCATAACATTATCATTACACTAAAACTTTATGCAAACTGAAAAGTTCCTCAGTGCACAGAACTTCCAGTGACAATTTAGGGTCCTAAACAAAAGAGGTATGTAGTAATAATTAAACAAGCATAGTATTACACGTAATGCTTATGTTAATAGTGATTGAAAAAAATCTGAGGAAACCTGAATGACGGAGATTTTATTCAAGACATGAATGCATGCAACCCGCATTGGTCCTAAATCTTGTCTTTAAAGATGTTGTTAATTAGATTAGATAATTGGTGGTGACTCACCACGGGGTCTACTCTAGATCTCCGTCCGGAACAATTACTGCCAAATAAGCAAAACTTGACCAAATGAAAACACGCATGATGCGAATGAAGCTTCATTCTTGATACTTGTCTGTTAATTTTGTCGAATATTACTTATTTGACAGTAATTGTGTCGGACGGAGATCGAGAGTAGACCCCCAGGATTGTTTAATTAGGATAGGCAGACTAATAAATAGTTGTTGTCGTGAATCGTGTTATAAATATTTCTAATATTCATTCAGGATAGAATGGTTGTACATACCTTGTGGGTGATCTCAGTCACCATGAGGAGTCTGTCCTCGTATTGGTTTATTGTGGTCTTGTACCCTGGCCATATTTGTAGTTTGTACTCAGGTATATCAATCTAAAAATATAAGATTTTTTAAAAACTGACGATTTGCAATGGTTCACTCTGCGGGGCGCTTGATGAGGATTTGGGAAATACTTTTCTAAATTAGTTCTAGTTTGAGTGTTCTGGATAGTGCTCCGGATTAACTTCCATAGCTCTGGTACTCATACTACAGGGAATTCCCTAGTCTGAAACCAGGCAATTAGTGTGGTTGTATGTGTCTAGTTTTTTTTAAACTAATGAAATAAAACTTTTTATTCAAATTAAAATGGCCAATGATCAAATTATTGAAATGTAAGGAAGTTATAATGGAATGTAAGTTAAAAACGAATCTGTATAACTTTCAGTTATAATTTATTAACAAATGAACCTCTTTACTTTTGTCAAGGGGGTAAACACTATCATATTATGTTATAAAAATATATATAAGAGAGGGTGGTTAAATAAAACGTGACTTCAAGGTTAAATAAAAACTTTTTACGGAATTCATTTTTATTTCTTAATTTAGAATTTATTACTAAGCAGCCAACGTTACTTTTTTAAAATTAGCGCGAAAATATAATTATATAAAAAAAATAGAAATAAAAAAATTCGGTGAGGTCAATATATTTTTTGAAGATTGAGAAAACGGAATTTGGAGTATTTCCGTTTCTCATCTGCAACCGAAACATCAAAACTTGTCAAATTATAGGTACTCGGACACTACTATTCTGTCTCTTTGGTCTTTTGTTTTGTAGCGCTTGTTTGGCTTTCGTTTGAGTTTGTTGTCGTGGGTTGTTAACAAAAATGTTTAAATATTGGTGTTTCATTATTTTAATTTACTTGCAAGAAAAATATTGTATGCAAACCACAGAAATCAAAATAAATAGGCAATAGAAGTCGCATGCATACGGTGACACAGTATACCAGTTTTACTATTGTCCAGTACAGAACATAAGTTTAGTTTAATTTTAGTTTATTTATATAACAATATTAATTTGAATAAAATAGTAAATAATTTTAGTCTCATTATAGCACCACCTGTAATTTTTGTTGTCGTCAACACCAGTGACCATTTTTTTTCTCTCTCATCCAAATTGTACAAGTGTAACGAACATTTTATTTCTACATAATAAAAAACATTATTTTAAAATTTCTTAGCCTTTTATTCAACAACTATAGTAGAATTAGTTCATTACATTTTAAATAGAAATAGGCGTTGTTTACACTTCCAATGCCTATTTATTAATATTTGTGTGATACTATCATCACATAATAAGGTCATAAAATCTCGTATTATGCAACAATTGCATAAAATACTATTTCTGAATTCTAGTTTTGAACTATTTCTTTACTTATCTGGTCTTTTTTTAAGCAATGGGTACTTCGCAAAAAACTACCTACACTTTTCTTAAGTATCAGCGTGTAATAGTATTTAAACTAGTTGTTGGACTATATAGATGGCAAGTGCGTTACTGCTCACGCACGTAACAGCTCACTATTTGTCCTATTGTACTCAAAAAATGAGGCGACAACACGAATCAGTGTAAATAATATTTAGTCAACTATACGGCTTCTACTCGATACGAACCAGAAATAATTTAAGTTTATTTACGTCTTAAATCTTTTTACGTTTTCAAATATTTACTCTACCGCCGCAAAAAAAGGCCACTTTAACAACACAAATTCCTGTTATTTGACATATTCTTCTAAAGAACAAAAAGAGGCAAGTTGTTCCATTCTTGGCTTATTTTCTAAGTTTCATGAAAAGAAAACCTGCCCACGTAATATAACTACGCTAAAATAACAATATTTTCCTAACCTCAGCGTTGTAACTGTATTTTATTTTAGTTTATTGAATTCAGTTTCAATTACTATTTTACCACTTGTGCCAATAGACTGCGTAAAGTCGCAAAATAGTAGATTGTACAACATGTGCATAAAATATGCCATTTTACTCGAGACGTTACGCGTTATGCTCATTTCAGTGAATTCGGAACTTTAAAACGCGCCCCTGTAAACTTGGCAATTTCGACATACGATACTTTGCGTAGGAGGGGTCGGTTTGGTCTAGCCCCTTAGACGAATTTCGCCGCATCGATCCACAACGTAACATTTATTTACCTTGGCTAGTGGGTCGAAGAAGTCGCGGCCCATAAGCTGCAGCTGTAGCAAATTGAAACACTTGCGTATTATAATATTAAAAATCTGCAAGTAGTGATAATCGCCGGGGCTTACGTCACCTGTCAGCTGTAAATTAAAGAAAAAAAATACGTTAACATTTTATAACAACTTTAGATAAAGAGGTTTAGTTTATTAATTACTGGCCTGGATCTAAATTTGCAGTTATAGTGTTTGGGTAGCCTGTGTCCAATGTTTGTCTAAACTTTAAACACACTCACACATGCATGTAAATAATTTTAATAAATTATTACTTACTGTGACCAGTAGGCGCATGCGCGCACCATCTGTTTTCCGATCTGAATACAACTCCAAGGGATCAGGGTGGAGTTTCTTCACTGTATATAATACACATCCATCAAATAAGTAACTGCGAAACAACAGTGTTTTTAAAATGCAATTTAATCACAATTTATGGGTAAGCAATGGTAACTAACTATCAAATTATGCTAATTCTTAATTAGATCTTCTAAGTATATCTACAGATGTGAGTAATTTTTTGAACATAGGCCTCCCCCAAAGATTGCCAGACTAGCCGGTCGGAAGCAACGTGCACCTGAACTAATGCGTTCCATCCATTTTATTGAAACAAACCTGTTTTAAATGTAAGTGTGATTTTAAATACTTCGAGCCATCATTTAGAATGCCCTTCGTTAGAGTTAATATGTTTATTTTTACTGTGTTCAGCAGTGGGATTATGTGTAGGCTACTCTTTATTATTATTATATGTTTAAATAAAACGGGTGAGTTTTTGAGCGGAAATACTTAATATACCATTGGCCAGGGAGCAAACAATTCGGCCATGTTTTATTTGTAGACTTTTTCAAATAAGATACTCACCCTCCAAGTGTGTTAGCATGAATACGTAAGAGTCCTTTACGAATGGCGGTGCTGTCTTCTTCGGGCGAGACATCCACGTGATACTGGTAAAGACGCCATTGCGGAGTCGTTTGCACCGTGAAGTAATTTGCGCACAGGTCCAATTGCGTGCCGAAGCTACCTGTTTCGATGTTCATCACAATAACTTAGTAGTCACCGAAATTAGTACGACGCGACATAATTATCTTACTACATCATAGGTACAAAAAATCACGTTTACACATAAAATTTGCTTTTCATCAGCACTTGAGTTAATTTTCGGATGGTCATAAATGATGTCTTCGCTGCGCTCCAAAATCCTGTCACACCCGACAGTCCGAATTAAGCTTAGAATATGATTTTTTAATATTCCACCTGTATGTTTTGGAGTAATCTTCCTTCATGTCAAAAAATAATTTAAAATTACCTTTTTTGGAGGTGGCTGTAGCTGGACGGGTTCGCAGAATAGTCATGTGCTCAGGCAAGACCCTGCCTCCACCGCGGCGTGACCCGCGTCCTACCACAGAGGCGCCAGCCTCGCCAGCGGCACCAGGTTGCGATTGTTGTCCTAATAAATTAAAAATATAGATACTTTTATTTTTTTATACCCGCTTCATATTATATTAACGTCAAGTGACTTTCTGCAACTGTCAAAAAATGCGTAAGAGAAACTAGCAATTCTTTAACCGAATCATATTAATCATACCAATACTCTCAATATCTTCCATACCATAATAATTACACAAATACAATTCTAAAATAAAATGGATAACGAATAAGACGGAAACAATAATTACCAATATTCAAGGCTTGCATTCGCTGCTGAACATCGATATCACCGGGATGATCATGCGTAGATGGAGTAGTACGGTGGGCAGCGCGGCCAGCTGGCGCCGCGGGCGCTGGCATTCCAGCACGAACTGGGGGCGCAACTGATGGAGCGCCCCAAGCGGAGGGTGGCTGCGGACGCGGCCCTGGTGGCCCTTGCTGTTGCTGTTGGGGCGCGCCGGCCTGCTCCCCGGGCCGCCGCGGAGGCGGTTGAGAGCTGTCAACACGGCCTGCGCGTCCACGCGCCCTTCCTCTGCCACGATCTGCCATTGCTCACTGTGTACAAGGTATAATACAATCAGATAAAATGTGATACTGTACCTATATGCTATAATCATTTTTATGAGATGGTTTATAAAAAAGTGTTTTTAAAAATTTTAGCTATCGATAACGGTAATTGTGGCACTGGCAATATATGGAATGCAGCCTCGATGAAGCTATTAAATCCACATTGAGATCTCAAATTCGAGTGATAAACGGACTGATAAACCGACATTTTTAAATTTTATCACAATAGCTAACATGGCGTCACATTTTTATGTCGTGAGCGCCGCGACCAATGACTGCAAAGGATTCACACAGAGCCAAACATGACTGCAAGATTGCAGGTGATTTTAAAATATTTTGACAGTTCTACGCAGCAATTTTATCAACGTAAAAATTCAGCGCAACAAACGAGACGAAAAGAAATAATAAAATCAAACAAATAGACATATTACGTAAATTATTGGAAAAAGGTGGGAACATTTTTAATACTGTATTTTGGTCAATAAACTAAAAAAAAATACACGAGAGTACTTAGAAATACGTAATATAATGTAAAATATTTAAAAACAGAAACTACAAAAACCCGACATTTTTTGTTTTATCGTTTTTGCGGCGATGATTGAACGACAAACAAGCTATATACGCAATTTCATATTGTTGTCCCTGTTCTTCAAAATATATATCAATAGTTCATTACCAAATAAGCAGACTTAGCTTTATCAACTGAAATAACTATAGCGGGGAGGTTTATTAAATTATCACCAGGGATAGGAATAGGTAGTTTTTTTTTACCTAAACTTCGAGGAACATAGACAGAAAATGGAGACTGTCTTACGACGATATTTTTTAGGTCCTGGACCTTTTCGGTATTTGGGAAATCACATAAGAACATTAAAAATTGACGTAATTGGGGACAGGCAGGTACACTATATTTATCTTAACATTGCGACGCACAGCGGGTCGTAAATATCGCAATAATAGTATTTATGAGCAATTTTTGCACATTTTCTGACACGTATAAGTAGTGAATAGGCAGGTTTGGGCGCGCGTATAGTGTACAAATCTATAGAAGATAGGTTTAATAATACGTCTGTAGTGATTCCAAGACTGGATCGACTTTGTAACTATGGGGCACTAAAAGTATGGTCCCATACAAAAAATACACATTTAATTTCTTTCCTACTAAACTATTACATTTATGGCAAAATGTGATATGACAATATTTAATTAATAAGGACAATAGGATCTCTGGATTGGCATTTTTTCTAGAGAGGTATCGTGAAAAAAATCCAATGTTCGCAATATCGCTGATCCGACCCACTGTGTCGCAAAGTTAAGATAAATACAATGTCTGTCCCCAATTACGTCAATTTTTAATGTACATACTTAAGTATTTTCCGAATCCCGAACAGGGCCCTACCACAACCTCTTAAAACAATATTACTTTTACCTTACATTGACATTTCGTACCATAACGCGCTTAAAGAGGGCCCTACCACAACCTCTTAAAACAATATTACTTTTACCTTACATTGACATTTCGTACCATAACGCGCTTAAAGTAAGCTTATTGTAATGTTAAAACTATGATGTTTTACTGGCAGCTTTGTGACTATTCATTCACTCAGTTCGTACTATGACGCGAGTTACCTTTCAAAAGCTAGAAACATGATTTATAGAATTTTGTTTCTCCGAAAACCTTTAGACTTTTATTGAATAGATTTTGTTTCATTTGTCCGAAAACATGTTACGGTTTTTTTCATTACACCATTTAATGTTTCACTATTTCGACCTCATCGTCACTTTCCACCAGGTGAGATGGAGGTCAAATGCGCACTCATTTTATATATATATATATATATATATATAAAAAAGAAACATATATAATACTCATCAAGAATTCTTACAAAGCAATCATCCCCACATTTCACTTGATAAGAAATGGTATTGTTAGAAACATTCCGATAGAGTGAACTATAGAACTGGTCAAGTCCATCGATTGCACTAATGGCTCCCAAGCCATTAAGGCCTGACGTCTAAACAGGAAAGAATACATTGATAACAAACCACATTGGATCCCCCCCCAAACAGTAATGGTCTCTTTCCTTGGCAAAGAGCTCCCTGAAAGAGTCTTGTGTTAACATACATCCCTTCCGGTAGAGATCTATACTTTACCAACCATACAGTGCAACAACTGCTGTCGCTTTGGTCATGTGAAAGCCCAATGCCGTTCAAAGCCCAGGTGTTTTAGATGTAGTCAACCACATGCTGGAGATTCTTGTGGTACCTCCCAAACAAACATGCTTATATTGTTGTGGCCCCTATATGGCCACGGATCCCTCTTGCCCTGAACAAGCCAGACAGAAATCTATTAAAGTTGTTATGTCAACAGAAAACATCCCATACTCAGAGGCTTCTCTTAGATTCCGGACTGTACTTAAATCTTTTGCTGACAGCGCTCGCCCTACGACAGCTCAACCTCCTGCAGCAACCCTAAGTTCTCCTACAACCTCTCAACCTCATTATTTCCCACCTCTTTCTCCAAGCTCCTTCCAAAGAAAAACTGTTTATTTTGAGCGCCGACCTTGGGTTTCCCCAAAATCTGGTTTCGATAAAGTAAGCCACAATAACCTTATTATGACTCCGCAGTCCACACAACATGGCTGTGCTATTAATTCAGAATTATCAAACAATACCTCCAGAAACGAAAATTTTATTGAATCTTATTACTTATCAACACACATATCACTATTATTTCTAAATTTGATGATTCCCTACCGAACAATGTCATTCAATCACTGAATAAATTAAACTCTTTAATCCATATTAATAATGAACCCCAATCCTACAATGGAACTGTAAGTCAATATGTCATAAAAACATGAACTAATTGATTTAATAAATAACTATAAGCCCATCATCCTGGCTATCTCGGAAACATGGCTAAACCCATCTTCGCCTTTTAGGATTCCTGGTTTCTCATGTCTCAGGGTTGATAACAACAATGGATATGATAAAATAAATAAATAATAAATAACGCACACACTCAACATAGCCCCGCACTAGGGAAACCCTGTGTCGCGGGTGCCATGGACACACACATAGACAACCATGGCTGTGCTCTAATTATTAAAAGATCTATTGTTTATTCTTTATTACACCTTCCTTCTCACTCACCGAATTTTAAGGCCCATTTAGATGGAGAGAGTTTATCGCACGTTTCGTGACGAAAAATCGTACGCGATTATCGTAAGCAATAATCGCCATAAGATTATCGTATCGTAATGTTTACATTCAGGCAAGAACAAAAATCTCGTCTACGATTATGTCATACGAGATTCGCAAGCAACTTAATCGCCTCCTCGACTGTTTGTTTACACAGAGAAATATGTAGTAAGGAGATTCTTGCTTACGAGTTTTCGACTTGTCTAAACACGATTTCGTATGACATTTTTTCAAGTTCATACGATTATCGTACAAATCGGTTCGAACCGTTTTGAGTGCGAGAATTGCCAGTGTCAGTCAGTGATTACTGCGGTATTGACTATGGACATATCAAAATGACGCAAAGATCATTCAAATTTGGAACTGCTGATAATATTAAGTTTATTGCACTGTATAGAAATATGCATTTTTTATTTCATTTTTTCAAATTTTATAACTTTTCTTAATCCAAATTTTTTTTCCTTCTCGTTTCATTAATTCTTGTCTTAGAGAAGCAGTGATAATCAAAACACCCTCGCGCACTGCACCCGTGTAGAAACGGCTGGCACAGAAACTCGAAATACGATTTTTGCTTTCGAGTTCTGTTTCCACTGAGACGTGGACGGTCGATAATCGCAATTGTTTAGACGAGGAAACTTTTTTCTATTCTTTTGATAATCGTATCTTCGAGACGATAAACTCTCGCCATCTAAATGGGCCTTTAATGTCGTAGCAGCTAGAGCTTTAAACATAACATATGTTTCAGTATACATTCCCCATCCTGATCAATCTATCTTCACTGAACTAGATTCCATCCTTGCTTCTCTCCCATTGTTCATCTCCTGCCACCTTTCTTAATGACATGCTTGATAATAATAATCTCTGTGTTATAAACGATCGTTCCCCTACGAGAAAATCTTCTCCCGCCCAAAATCCCAGTTGTTTTGATCCCTAATTTCTTCTGAATTAATTTCCAAATTCTCTTGGAGAGTACTTTTTAATTCTTATGGCAGTGACCAGCTTCCTATAATAATAACTTAAATATATAAATATAATATAAATATAAACATAAAATATTATTTAATAACACCTGGCATACTCGGAAGGACGATTGCCTAGTGCTCGTACGTGCGGTGGAAGACCTCAAGGAGACGACGACGACGTAATTTTAGAAGAAATTCGAAATGATCCCAGCACTTCAGTACGTGCGATTGAAAGAGCCACTGGAATACCAAAAAGTATTGCTCATCGAATTTTAAAGCAACACGAATATCACCCGTATCATGTGCAACGTGTACAAAGTTTATTACCTCGTGACTGCTCTCTCAGAATGGCTTTTTGTAGAACAATGTTGGCGAGAAATCGTGAAGATCCACAATTTATAAACAAAATTGTATGGACTGACGAAACAACATTTAAAAAAGATGGTTATTTAAACTTGCACAATGTACATGGCTGGCACACGGAAAACCCGCATTTAATGCGTGAAGACCGGTCCCAATACCAATTCAAAGTCAACATGTGGACCGGAATTTTAAATGGACAAATAATTGGACCGTTTGAGTTGCCTGAAACATTAAATGGCGACAACTACCTACTTAGATTTTCTTCAAAACGATTTCCAAACGTTACTAGATGATGTACCACTCAACATCTATAGAGAAATGTGGTTTCAACAAGACGGTTGCCCAGCGCATTATGCTCGTTCTGTACGTGATTATTTAAACTCGGAATATTCCGGAAGGTGGTTTGGACGCCTTGGTTCAATTTTGTGGCCTCCTCGATCTCCGGACCTAAACCCCCTTGATTTTTTTTACTGGGGCTGCATAAAGGAAAAAGTATATGCAAAACCCATAGAAAATCTAGCCCAATTACGCCACAAAATTGTTGAAGCAGCAGAAGAAATTAGTTTGAGAAGACTCGCACGATTGATAAAAAGATCTTTTGTGAGGCGATGCAGAGCCTGTATTCGTGCCGAATGCAAACAATTTGAGCATTTACTTTAACATTAAAGTATTACAATAGTTCCTTTCGTTTCATTTTGATTAAAATTTATTATAATACAACATTCGACTAATTATTAAGTTGACACACTCACATGTGTTAGGGTAGATTATATTGTTTAATGCGTTGTCACTATCCATCTCACTCTATCACTAAAGACCATCTCACTTTCACGATGTTAAAGCCAATCTTTGAGCACACAAAAGTATTATTTATCATGGCATGAGTTTTTTTTGAAACGAGCTCCTTTTGCAAAAAATAAGTTATAATATTTTTTATGGAATGAAGAGTGGCAAGTATTGTACCATTTTGAAATCTTGATTATATGGGCCATCTTTTAAAATAACTTGCCCAGGGTAGTGTAGTACATTTTTTTTTTAAATGAAGTGTCAAAGCTAGCTGACCTATTTTTTCAAGCTACGACTCAATGAAACTAATTTTTTTTTTTTACTAAACTCATAACGTTTATTGTTTGATTTGTGACTGCAATAAATAGCATGGTTATTTATGATGACGTAAAAAAAAAATCACTCCAAAATTTGAAAATTTGTGATGACTGTACCTAAACATGTGGTCTAGGGTATCAATTTTCAACATTTTCAAAAAAATGCCTATTATCACTTAACTGAGTGACATGGATCTTTTTTATTTTTTTTACCAGAACTGATATAACCTGGCCTCTCGCCCAGTGACCGCTTGACGTTGAGTTTTGGGACACCCTGTATTTGAACACGTGGCATTATGCAATTTAATAAGCACAGAGTACTAAAAAAACCGACGTCAAAAGTTCCTGGAATTACATTTATTTGCCAAGTTTCATTCATCATCCCCTAGTTTGCCACCTTTACAGATGGAATATTTTATTCGAATTTAAATGGGATCACTACTGAGGTTCCCACCTTCCAACAAAAAAGAACCATCAAAATCTGTTCCGGAGCGTAAATTCAAGTATTACCAGTTAGTAGTACCATTTGTCACTAGAAATTTTATTGACACTTGAACGAATCCATAATATTTACAAATTTTTATGAATACGAAACTAAAGTAATGCTTGTTTATAGTGCAACTTAACGAGTGGCCCTTATTTTGTTTGGAGTGGTTTATATTCTTTAAAAACGTTTTTACCACACTATAGAAATCAGTTTAATTCCTATTATTGGCTTATATAATTTTATATATACATATATAGACATTTATTTTTAATTTATATATAGATTTACTTTTTTGACTCTCAATTCGCGACGCCGACATAAATTTTCGGTAAAGTGTAAATTAAGTTATGTTGGTAGAATAGTTATTACGTCAGCAAGTTGTCAGGAGGATTTTTCGAAACTTTCAATATTTCATTCGGCTGTTTCCCTATTTTTATTTGCACAAACTTTTTCGATAGCTTAGTAATGAACGCAAATAAATGAATTTTAATTTACTCTTCGGAGCTTTTATTATTACCCAAAACAGTCTAGATTTCATCGAATGTAGAAACGAACAAAGTTTATAAGGCGAAATAGTGCGTGGTTGAATGGCATTTTCAACGTAAATTTTGATGACTATTTGAGAATCTGAATCTTCTACATCGACAGAGAAGCGAGGATAACCTTCTAAAATCTATGGAAACAGATAAAAAAAACAGGAAAAAAAGTTAGGAGTTACCTCAAAATTTTATGGCGATAATAATGTATTAACCGCGAACATAGAGGTTTGTAATATGTATGACAATATGTAACTTTGGGATTGTGGAGAGTGGCACAGAAACTTGGAGGTCTATACTCAGCGGTGGGTGAAGTCAGGCTGTATATGATGATGATGTATGATGATGTTTGGCTTGTCGTCTCACCTACATTTTACAAACAAAGTAAGCAATATGAAACCTCCAAATATTTAAAAAACTGTTGACATAATGATGGTCCCACTTAATAAACATGTAAAAGCTTGTACAACTTTTCGATAGTTCAGGTCAAAATTCACCTCTATTTTTTTTTAGATTTTTTTTCCAATTAATTTTATAAATATTCAGTACTCCAATGTTTATTGTATGAAAGATAAAATCAACAAACTCACATCAATATTGCGAGTATGTATTTTGAATACTATCTACTCTTGCATGTCTATAACGAACTAACTTTGAAATATTGTACATGGGCATCTTTAATATTGTACTGTATATTTGCACTTTTAAAATTTATGACCAATTACTATAATAACCAAGTAACTATATAATATTTGCATTTTAAAATCCTAATATCCATAGTAAAAACAGTAATATAATGTTACATTTTACAATAAATATATAACATTTCCCATGTATATCAGTGTAAACACTACATGCAAACAGCTGCCAATATAATTTTTACAAGAATAAAAATTCAAAAGGTTTTTTTCTAACTATCAATACTATCATATTTTAATTTAAGATATAATTTTTTATTTATCTTTCATACATCGTATTTAAGTATATATCCAATCACCAACAACTAATATTATTTTTTAAATTTTTAATCACTTCTGTAATGTTGCAGTTTTTCCATTACACGTTTATTCAGTGGGGCTGTTGATAAATCCATTGACCAAACAGCGAAAAAGATATTTAGGTGCAATTTTCTCAAAATTATAATCATAATTGTTGCCACATTATTGCTGATCAGATGAATTGGATATTGTGGTATATGTCACAAAGTCTTTTTATACTAAATTCATACCATCAGGTTCAGAAATCCAATGGTGATACAAAACCACAACCAGAAAAAAAAGGGACCATAAATTAACATAGTCTGGAATACATAACTGTATATTCAAACAATAAAGCTGCATTGTTATATAGTTAAGAGTTACACGACTGCACAATAACAAAACCTAGTGAGTGCTTTACAATTAAATTTTACAGAAGAGACAAAAACACTAATCGAGCTCATCCTTAAACTTGAATTTAAAAAAAAGTAATAGTATTAAGAAGGGTACCAATCAACAAATACATTGATGTCACAAAAATTATCACAACTTGTATATTGCATATTTTATACCCTTACTTTCTTTAAATGTTTATGTACACACGCCAGCACATTAAGCTACACATTGACATATCTAGTTTCGTTGCACTGGAGGCGATTTTCAAACAAAAATGTGTAGTCTGATGTGCCGTTGTCCATACATAAGTAACATTACTGTAGCATCCAGAATCAAAATACAATATAAGCATTTGCTAGGTATGTGGTTTAGTTACTGCATCAGAAAATTTTAAATAAAATTTGATTTAGTTTGGCTAATTAAATTACTAAAAATGACTAATATTTTTAGTACCCATAAAGTTCCACAATCCACTAATTGCCAAATCAAATGCCTAGTAAGGCGCTTTAATTACTTTAAAACCTAGAGTGTCAAATACTAGCTCTTTTAAATTGGTTAGTGACTTAAGATTTTTGGCTGGCACAAACTACACTAAGTGTGCCTTGCTAGGTTTTTAAAGATTCAAAATCAAAGAATCAAAAGGAAATTATTATGATGTCAGCCTAGACTGCAACGCATACCATGGCTATTAAATCCGAGATAGGGTTGTAGTCCCAAAGCAAGAAACTTATAATGCCTGCACACAGTACAAGGAATATAGCTTGAAGCCCATTGGCCATGATACATGAAACGCTGGTGACAGAGTGTCTTACTGGTTATAGTTCAAATTGCAGGTAATATGTAGGTAAAAATTATGTAGCTACCTACTAATACTGTAAGTTCACAACTGTCGCCAGCTGCCAGCATAGAACTTGTGTTGCGTTTAAGTAATAGTACAACATATTTGTCAGAATTATACGGATATTATGACACAAGTAAAGCATACAAATTATGTGGACAAAGCAAATTTTGCTTTTGCACCATGGCGGCCATAAGCAGGAGAAAATTTTTCTGTGCGTTGATTTCAGAGAACTGATTAGTAGCAATAACTGTATGCAGGCTGTTTCATGCTAAAATCACATTCGCTTTATGTCGAGACCTGTATACAATTTTTTTTATCGGTAGGTACATACATTAACGTAAGCATTTATTAATAATAATCCCATGGAAATTAGGTTAATATTAAAATACGTTCGCTATGTGCAATATGTTAACAGAAAAGCACTTACCCAGAAGATTTCACTGAAGGGGAATGTTTTTTTTATCTGATGTATTACAAGCGTCGTCTGCCGTCTGTTATCCTTGTACGCAAACCCCACATGCAGCAACAAACTAAAACATGGCGTGCGTTCATGTAACAGCACTGACGGATAAATGAACGAATGAAATCACAAATGAAGTAAAAAATGAGTGGAATGGTACGAGCTACCACCATAAAAGTGTTGAGAGATGTTTCCTTTTCAAAGCTTTGCTTTTCTAATTTATTTACTTTCACATATATTAATTTCAAAGAATGTTACATATATACAGTTTAAAATTAAAAAAATATTTTTATGAATGCTAGTAATTATCACAAGTATGAATTGCGTTTCCGTTTTTATCACAAGTATGAAATGCGTTTCTTTTGCGATTTTTGACAAATTGCAACAATTGTATTTTAGATTATTAGTATATTATATGCCCGCGACTCGCAGATTCGTTAGGCCATATACATGCATATCCCATATCCCTATTGCCCACCAAAGTTTAGCATTTTGAATTTTAAAGCATTCTTTATGACGCAGACTTTTCTTTAAATTTTAGCTGAGTTAAGTTATATGATAAACGTTTTGAGGTAAGCTGCAACAAAATTTTCCAGCCGTTATTGTTATTATGGTAGTACGGAGTAAAAATACAGATGGCGCTTAGATAAATTATATTATATTATATTAGATAAACTACCGGGAAAAACGTTATCTTCGCACCACTAACAAATTTGAAATGAGAAAGAAGTTATTTGTTATCATTGACCCATATGCAAAGTTCAATGAAATTGTTGTTATGATATTTTTAGGATCGGGAAGGGGCCTGAACAATAACTATTTTGTTCTATTGGCATATTTCGTATGTTATTGATGTTGTGTTTGAAGCCGTCAATACATTGAATTTTAGAATACTCGTAAAATCCATATAGTTTCTTGCAACCATCACATAAATACAGTTATAATAATTTATGTATAAAATAAAAATATTAATACCTTCTTTATTTTGATTTGTATGAACAAAACAAAATTAATCCTAATAATTTGTTGATAAACTTCTTTGGTATTCTGTTCCTATTGCGCTAATTGTCAACTTCTAACTTGTGACGAGGATACATTGGTTACCGGCGAGACAGGCTTAGCCTAGTGCAGGTTGTGTTTCTAGAGTTGTATTTAATTTCTTATTTATTATGTATCTACCTGCACAATTCTGTTGTCAAATAAATAAATTTTAATTTTTTAAACTTAAATAAGTACTCATCAAGCCGGCAGAGAATAGCAAATTGAGCTTAAATTCTAGTTTGTATAATAACTTGTACCTAATATTCATTCCGCCATAGAAATGTACAGTCAACAGCACATCTACACATTGACGTGTCTTGTTCCGTTGCACTGGAGACGATTTTCGAACAAAAAGTGTAGTCTGATGTGCTTTTGACTGTACGATTGTATTAGTTAAATACCTATATTCGAGATCGTATTGTTAGAGATCACTATCCTGCATGAATTGTGAGAGAGTATGATTTTTTTACAAGAAATGTCTTTAATTTGGTAGCGAATGAATAGTTTTTGTTATATTTTTTATAATTAGGTTTTTTGTAATAAATTTTAATGTATGAACTGCTGAGGAATTAGTTATTATTGATCTTACCTATCAGTTGATTACAACTGAATGGAAAGTTTTGAGAGAACACTATATAAAATACAAAAAACTTATTAATTTGTATTTTTTTTATATAGTGCAAGTAGTGCAACCCGAAACTTAGCAAAAGTTGATAAATCGGCGACTAAGACTCATGAGATAATTTTTTGGTTACACTTAGGCAACGTTAAGTTATTTAAATCGCCATTTTTGCATACTCGAAATCTATTTGCAGCAGTAGAGTTCCTTAAATCTATTTCTGCCGTCAAGCAAATAATGTGAGCATTGCTGCGTACTGCGTTTAGGATTTGAAGGGTGCTGGTGAAATTACAGGCACATGGGACATTTCAACTTATATCTTTGGGTGACGCGCATATGAGGACGCAGTGGCAGTGCCCCTCAGATTTAAAGTTCTGAGCGACACTGCAACTTTTATGGACAAGCGTGTCGGAAAGTTTATTTCATAAACCTTAGCAGCACAGTGGTATCGCGCTAGTTCAATCAAAAGAAATACTGATAATGGTTTTCAGATACTATTATAATAGGGGTTAAAGTATGAAATTGCCGATTTGTACTGAAAATCTAAATTGTTTATTTTTTAAATTTTTAACAAATTTATTTAATCAAAATAGTTGCCATTATTATCTATACATTGCTGCCACTTAATGGGAAGGTTATTAATGCCTTTGCGATAGAACTCCGACGATCTAGACTGCACAAACTGTGTGAAAGCATTTTGTACTGCCTCCTGGGAAGAAAACTTCTTGTCACGTAGATAATTGTCCAAATCACGAAAAAAATGGTAGTCCGTTGGAGCAAGGTCTGGTGAATACGGAGGATGACGAATGGTTTCTAACTGCAGTTCCTGAAGGGTCAAAATGGTTTCTCGTGCTGTGTGAGGTCTCGCGTTGTCGTGGAGCAATAATGGTGAAGATCGATTCATGAGTCGGGGCTGTTTTACTGCTAGTTTTGTCAACATGGTTCGGAGTTCGGCACAATAGACATCTGCCGTTATTGCTTGACCAGATCGGAGAAAACTATAGTGAATAACACCATGCTGAGACCACCAAACAGTTACCATTACCTTTTTATGGGTAAGTTTTATTTTAGGACACTGTTGTGGCATTTGACCTGGGGTCAGCCATTGCATTTTTCTTTTCCGGTTATCATAAAGAATCCACATTTCATCACATGTTACAATTCGATCCAATATTCCTTCATTTCTGTACCGGTTCAACAAGGCAACACAAGTTTCAACACGCGTTTCTTTCTGCAGATCAGTCAAATCATGAGGCACCCATTTTTCGTATTTTTTTATTTTATTGATTTGACGCAAGTGAGTCAATATTGTGGGTAAGGTAACGTTAAACCATGCCGCTAATTCCTGGGTAGTTTGACTAGGATCGGCTTCCACTATCTCTCTTAATTCATCGTTATTCACCTGAGTGGGCGGTCTTCCTCGTGGCTCGTTCTTTAAGTCGAAATTTCCATCACGAAAGCGTTTAAACCAAAATCGCACTGTGCGTTCATTAGTAGACCCCTCTCCAAACGCAGCATTGATATTGCGGGCTGTTTCTGCCGCGTTAGTTCCGCGTCGGAACTCGTATTCAAAAATCACTCGAATTTTCGCAGTATCCATCTTTCTTGTCTAAATTGAATAACAAAAACAATTGAAAGTCGATATTCAAATGTTTCAAATTTGAAAAAAAAAAAAATCACAGAAACCATTTGAAAAAAGTTTCATTCGAAAACCTCAAACCATGAAGATTCTATGAAAATTCAAAGAACCTATTGCAATAAAACGGCAATTTCATACTTTAACCCCTAATATATGGTGTTGTGACTTTCTTTTCATACTCAAGCGACAATTTATACAGTGTCAACAGCACGTCAAGCTTGATATTTAAATTCAACTCTAGGACGCTTCATGGACTCTTGGCTGTACTTACTATACTTGGTTAGCTGTAGGTATACACACGTTCGTCTGCCCCGTTAGCATGTGGCCGGGGCGTTCATCCCGCGCGTAGCTAGCGCGTATTAGTAGCGGTCTAGACGAGAGCCTAAGGCGTAGGCGATGAGACGCGCGAGGCTCGTGATATGCCCTTAAGTCGGAAGCTATGTTCGGACATTGTCGCAGGACACTGCGACCGGCATCTCCGGCACTAGCCCGGAGAGCTAGTAGAGGATGAGCTAGATATCCTCCGGTACCTCCAGCCGCCTAGGTTATTGGGAACTGGAGAGACGCCACTGGAGAGGCGTCGGGAAGTAAACGTGTCTTACAGCTCCGCCACCAAAGAGGAGATTTGGTAGTAGACTTTAGAGTCAGCGGCTTAGCGGTGGCAACCATTAGTTGCGAAACGGGAAGTGAGCATGCCTACAGCTCCGGTACTTATTTTGACAATCTAGGACAATCTAGACTAGGGTACTGTGCGTACACCCTGGCCAGCTCACCCAAGGAACTAGCCTTTTGAGAACCGGATGAAGTCCGTGCAAACGGGCTGATCTGGGGTCAGGACCAGACTGAGTAGGTGCGAGCTTGCTTGCTCAGGTTATAGTGCTCTTCCCGTATAACCAACAGGTTAATAGGGAGGAGGATTACTATAAACAAAACTTATGTTGAAAAGATATGGAAGTTGTGCTAACTATACCACACATTTATGTTCATTATAATTATATAATTATTTATTTTCATTACTCCAGCTCTTCAATTGCAGATATTTTACCACATTTTGTTTGTAGAGAACGATTATAGGGAACGCCAAATTTTCAAGTATTCCCGTATCACCCCTATTCAAATTATATGTAGATTATATGTTTTTCCTTAGCTTGTGTACCGATATGGTTTTGGAGAGTTAATTGCGAATCGACATACAAGCTATGGAATACTTTGCTTTACGGCTTATTATCTTAAAGCGTGGTATATTTGTATGATTATAATTAAATCTAAGAAGAGATTCAGCGTTGTGACCAACTAACAATGTAGGTACTGACCTAATGGACCCTTATTTTTAAAGGTGAAAGATATACAGCAGTGTCGTGAATAGAATGAAAAATAAAGCTCTAATGTCGTTTTGATGTTATCGAAAGTGCGGTAAAAGCGTCCGGTGTAGTTTTCTATAGAAATTAATGGTAGTATGGCCGCGTGACGAATCGCCACCGACGACATGTGATTTCTCGGAAAGTAGGGTACTCCTTGTTAGACTTGATGTTTTAGCAAAAAGTTATTTTATCTACACACATATCATAAACTCTCTATAATGTGTTCAAAAACCGCAAATTACGATTAGCCTTCACCTTTGTAAATTGTTTTGTTAGAACAAATTTCTTATCTGTGAAAATGTTATTATTGCTTCTTGTTATCATCGAATTCGCTGTTATTATTACATTCAAATTTCGAACATCACTGAAAAACAAAATAATGTGATTGGATCTCAATTCTTATATCTGTCAAGATGAAGTTTT